GGACCCCAAGAGTCCTGTCTCCAGGAGGACTTGCCTGTCTCCATTCTTATTTCCCATTTCCTTCCCCATGTCTGGGACTGCCTCTTTCCCTGTCAGGAGGCAGCAAGCCAGGCTGGGCAGCAGCCATCCCTCTCTGGCACCAAAGCCCTGAGCCAGCCTTCCAGGTGGCACTGGTGAAAGCTGCTTTGCCAAAACCTAAAGCTTGCTCTGGGAGATGCAATGGGAGATGCAATAGGAGTTGGCATCACTCCAGTTATTGCAGTGAATAAGAAAGATTAGGCAGTTGCTTCACTGAAATAAAAAAAAAAAACAAACCACAAATTCTCCTTGTGGGTTCCTACCTGTCTACTTTGATAACTGAAGGATGCTTACAAATAAGCTTAGTTTTATATCTTATTTGAAGAGGAAAACCAAATTCTGCAAAAACTTTATACCAGATTTTTGTTAGAAAAACTCCAGTGAAGAGGTTTTGCCCGAGGAATTTGACTCTTGGCTAACCACTGCAGAAGCTACTAGAGGTCTTGTAACCACCTGGCCCCATCTGCAAGTACCAAGTGCTCCCAAATGCAATCCACAACAGTTTCCCAGGAGCCCCCTGGGAGCAAGCACAAGGCCTGGGACCTTGGCTCAGACCCCCAAGGCACAGCCCACTAAGGTATACCAGTATAACCACTTCTTTTGTTCTTTTTTTTTATTTTTTTTTAATTTACTTTTTCTCCCCCTTTCGACGGTGGGCATTCATCACACAACTCTGCGCATCTGCTCTCTACTGCACCCTGATCTTCTGACTAGGGACAGAATAGCACCTCATCATCTTCTCTTCCCCATCAGTGCCAATGGTGAAGTTATCCCTCTGGATAACATGTTCCTGGTGCAGGAAGCTGATATTCAGTAACCTCTGACATCCTAGAACATGCACTGGCATTTCTGATATCATTTTAAGTGTCCTGTCATATCTTTTGCTCACTACTGATAACTCATAATAAAATTACATCAAAAAAAGTGTTGTCACAGAACTCTCAAGTGTGTAGCATTTGTGACACCTTGCTATCATATTAAGTTGGGGGCTTTTTATCTGTGGGTATTTTGGAGGAGTAATTACATTTCACTGCCAGCAGTGAAGTATGTAGTTACTGAGTGGAATCCAGCCCTATTCCCATTGATTCAGTAGGATTTGTTCACATCCCTGTTAGATTTAGAAACCACAGGCAGTTTAGTTTTCTATGTTTCTATCCTCTAGACATCACTTGGCACTGTGAATTCAGAGCCAAATCCATTAAACTGCATGCAGACATTTTCTTTTGTGCAGCTCAATAAATTTACGTCATTGCCTTGAAAAATGTTACTCTAACATTAACCTGCTAAAGCAAAATATATTAAGATCTGCACTCTATCCATAAGCAAGTTTTAGAGGTCATGGTATTTTTTGGACAAATCAGATTATTTCAATATATAGGCTTCTTTTGTAAGCCTTTTGAGACTGTGGTATTTCAAAACAGCAGGAACTCCTGCCCCCTACTTAATACTTTCCACAACTCTTTCTACTGGCTTATGTGTTGCAATACTACTCTGCACCAATACAGCAGGCTCAAAGGAGCCAAGTCTCTCGAGGAAAAAGTTGTTTTAAACATCTGGGACTTGGAAAAAGAGGCACTTGCTGGAATTATAGCATTAGAACATCATTATCATTCAGAGCATATAGTTAATGCATTATTACTTTAGTCATTTATTAAGTTTGAAAATCAAATATCAAACTGATTGTAGTGTCTGCCACCCAACAGGTACATCTGATTAGAGTGTATCAGGGCACCCAGCAGGACCTGCGGCAAAACCACATATTTTTATGGAAAGAGTGCCATCGTGTGGGAGGCTCCCGCAGCACGCAGGGATAGCAGTACTCGTGTGCTATACTCCCATACTCCTGTGTTTTTCCTGGAATTTTCATTAAAGTACAATTTTTGTTTATGAAAATAAACTACTAAAATAGGAAGTTTCATAACTAGGAACAGGTCAGAAGTGTTAAATCTTCTTAGTATGTTAACTATTATTTTAGTTCCACAGACAGGTGAATTCCAGAACAAAGTGTTTGCGAAGTCTAAGAGAAGCATGATCTTCCTTGTTCTCTGCATCACATTAATAGAGTTAGATATTCGTGCTCTTATTATTTCTGTTGATATGTATTTTATCCCTCAACATCTGTTTTAAGCTGCAGTTTTACAAGGCTTTTGACTACTACAAGCTTTTGACTTCTCAAGCTTTTCCGTGTAATGATACCATTACTATCGCTGGTTTCTGCTGCTTTTTTTATGTTTTCCTTTAAATAATTGAACTATATGTTACATCCATAAAGAAAATTGCCAATAATTACCAGGAGTACAATTAGGAATAAATCTCCATTAAGGAACAAGCCAAAGCTCACTTTTTATGCAAATGTCTTTTGTTAAAAAGATGTCTTGTGTAATCAAGAATTATACTGACAAGTGAAGAATCATTTAATTAATGAGAATAGAGCAATCATTTGGATGGTTCATTCTATTCCTGACTGAATAAAACAGAGAAAATAGTCCTGCTCAGGGATTACAGCCACTGCTGGAAGAAATAAGCCCCATGGATGTTGTTCTGTTACTACCTTGTGTAGATAGTACAGTAATTCCTAAATATAAAACCACGTATGTTTGGATTAGGCATTGAAAATTAATCTACTGTTATTCCACAAGAACTTATACAAAAAGGTTCTGTTTGTGCTTACTATCTGCTCCTGCTAACCTGTCAGACTGGCATATTTGGGCAAAATGCTCACCTAAATCCTATTACAGGATTCTAGGGCAGCAGGAACCAGGATTATGGTGAGTTCTTTCTGTAAGGATTGTATGCCATGATAGAGGGTAGCGTATGGACTGTGTTTGCAGTTGCAGAGCAGTAATCTGATCTCCAGTCCAGCCCTCTGATCAGAGCAGGTCCAGTTAGGTCAGTTTGCTCTGGGTCTTTCCCAGTGGGTCTTTGAATGTTGTCAAGGGTGGTGGTGCCATAAATTCTCTGTTCCAGTGTTTGACCTCTCCCATTCTTCTCTTATCTAGTTGGAATTTCTTATCTTCTGGTTTATCCCAGTTGCATCTCTTCCTGTCACTGGGTCTAGCTTCAGCTTCTCTACACACTCCCAATAGGCAGCTGTGGGCAGCAATGACAGCACTCCTGTGTATGGTCCACATGCCTCCAAAGCTCCTCCGAACATGGATGTCTCATAACAGCTACTCTGTCTCGTGTAACAGAACGGAGAATTCTCCCACCCTTGACACATCCCTGCTGCCTCAGGAAGCTTCAGGATGAGGTTTCCCCAAGTTGACTCTGAGTTTGGGAGAATTCAAAATATAGCCCAGGCAACTGTGACCTTGTTTGCCCCTCTCCAGGGCTGGACCTTCAGCGATGTAGTGTCAGCAGGCACTGCACAGAATTTGTCCCACTTCTTATAAACACAAAGCTATACGAAGAAGGTGATTCTGGCATCTCCAAGGATATGTGTATTGCCTGTGATCTGTTCCTTGAGGGCACTGTTCCCTTGGGTACAGCACAGAGGTGAACAAGCAGTTCCCTTCTGAACAGGTGAGGATCTCAGGCACCACTTGTAGTACTAAGTAGGAAGTGGAAGCCCATTCCAGAGCTGTGCTGAGATTTCAGCCACTGGTAGCTGTGTCAGGTCTCCCATTCCTGGTAGGACCACAGCATAAATATATGGTCATTTGGATGTGCCATAGAAAATTAGGTGACTTCACTGACACAACTGCCTATTCAAGCAGCATGGGAGACTGAGTAAATTCTGTATAGAGCAGTTGCTCTGTGCTTCCGAGGTGCATTCAAACTCCCTTTCAAGGTTGATGATGTAGACCACTGCATTGAGCTGTTATGGTAGCCCTGAGACAGTAGGACAGCTTTTCTTCCCCCTCTGATGCAGTACAGTCTCTGGCAGCAACATCCCAGACCTCTGCTGGTTTGTGTGCACTTGGATTTCTTTGCATGCTGTGTCAAATGATTGCACAAGTAATTGTTTGTCTTCCAACACTGAAATGAAAAACAAATTTATTATGTAAAGGAAAACATTCCCTCTGTTTTATTCTTTTTAGATGTGATCATTGAATTTTTTATTTTGGATAACCAGAGATACCCAGCTGTTACTGTAGTCATTTCTGGATGTTTTTAAAAAAAACACTCTCCTCAGGAATAAATGAACTAAATATGAAAATCTTCTTACAAATAAAATTCTCATTTCTCAAACTGCTCATCCCACAGGAAGTCTAGTTAAGTGCATTGTCCTTGCAAGCTGCCCAGTAAATCTTCATGGGCTGGATATGTAGGTCCAAGGACAAGTGAATTCCACAGCAAGGAACCTTCCTGTGGAATCACTTATCATCGGGTCACGTTCTCACGTTAAGCAAGATTAGTTTAGGTCGCCACTGTCTGTAACAAGATGGCTTTGTTCTCTCTCTCTCTCCAAAGCAGCAAGTAGGTAACCTAATAAGGATCAATTTAGATCAGTTAGGATCAATAAAGTGTAACTTGTGATCCATCTGGACTGTATTTTCCTTCTGGTTTGGGGGTTTTTTTAATTGAAATGTCTCTTCTCCAGTGATTAAAATGCAAAATATTGTCAAATATATAATGCACTACGAAAGTCTACTGACATAGTCTGTAGTGAAAGCCAATTAAGAAAATACGGTATATGAAGTAAAGCCTTTTCATTAAGGTTGATAAAAGAAGACAAGAGAGAGTCATGTGTGCTTTCCTGTATCTGGAGTAGAACATGGATATCTATGTGCTCAGTCTAACAGGCAACCCCATATTCAAGCTTTCTTTTCTGGCTAAATCAGTCTGCCTGGGTTCATCAGCTTCTTGGCTTTCCAAGACATATGGGAAGGTTGCAAGTAGCCAGATTCCATCCTCACACTCTCAGGTGCCGCTGTCCACTGCCCCACTGTAACCACTGACTTCTGTGCTTTCCCCTCCAGGATTTTGGAGCTGCAGCAGAATGGCGACATGGACATACTGAAGCATAAATGGTGGCCGAAGAACGGTCAGTGTGATCTTTACTCATCTGTGGATACCAAACAGAAAGGAGGTGCCCTGGACATAAAAAGTTTTGCAGGTGTTTTCTGCATCCTCGCTGCAGGGATTGTCCTATCCTGTTTCATTGCAATGTTGGAAACGTGGTGGAATAAAAGGAAAGGCTCCCGGGTTCCATCAAAAGAGGTATTAGACCCTCCATTTCTCCTGGGGAATTTTCATGCACCCTAAATAATGCTGCCTTGACTTTATAGCACTAGAGAGGGTGGGTAATCAAATTTTGAGATACTTCATTAGCTTCCTGATTTTTTAAGATAAATTATGTTCCTCAAAACCTTTTAAGCTATTCTTTCTAGAAATAAATTATTTGAATGGAAATAAATATATGTTGATGATGTATAAATATGCAACTATTCTGAGTAAAACACATCTGTTACTTGTAGAATAGTACATTATTAATACATCAATATTTGGTTCATTATTCCCATTGGTGACAGCTAATTCTCACCAGGTTTCTTGGTTACTTCTTGAAAAATATATCCCCTAAGCTCAATGGCTGAGTCTTGTCCCCATTTTCAGAAATACTGACCTGTTGAGACTTCCATGAACTTCAGTTCTCATTATTGCATCTGAAGTCCAGGGAAGTAAGGCTACATTAGATTTTTCAGGTTCAGGCCAGGCTTATTTCTGAAATCTACTACAGACTTGTTTCAGAAAATCTTGGACGGAGGCCACAGGGAGATATGTTATTTTACATCTGAGATGAGTTTGCTTCTACACCTGCATGTGTAATGCTTTCCTTCCTGTGGTAACCTACCTGTCCCTTTACCAGCCATCTGAGCCTTATGCAACTTTATACCAAATTTCTTACCTTTATAATTAAGTATTTACATCTACAAAATACTAAAAAAAAATCAGGGAAAAAACAATTTATTAAAATAAACCTGGCAGCAACACCCAAAGCTGAACCCAAATATGAGCTTTAGTGACACACTGTCAAATATAGCTTTTCTGTCTGTGTAGCTTAGGCACATCTGTGTAGCTTGTGGGGTATTGCTGTTAATTTGTGTGCAGTGGTCTTGCTTTCTCTGCAGTTTCTCCATTGTGTTTATTCCTGCTAATCTAATGCTGTATATTAGGGAAGGATTAATTACCCTACCTAATTAGACAGCATTGGCACTGATGTTAAAATACGTTTAATCTTTTCTTGCCTGTTTTAATTCCCAAGCTTTTTTTTTTTTTTTTTTGTTCAAGATCTGGACCGGACCATTATTAAAAGGAAAAAAAAAAAGGAATCTCTAGTCTTTAAATTGGGTTTCTCAGGAGTGGAAACCATATAGTTTCAACTGGTAAATTATTTTAAAAACCTAAAATTTACTTGATTGTTGTTCATCCAAACATTCAGAACTTCATACTTCATATTTATCTGATGCAAAACAGGAAAATCAATAACAAAGGAAAACAAAAAAAACACACAGATATTTTATACAACTAAAAAATTTCTATTTCAATTTTCAAATGCTGAGAAATTCAAGTGTATACTTTCCACAAATGGTATAATTTGGCCTCCTTGATCTTTGCTATATGGTCATTAGTTTAGCATTTAAAATTGCATCTCAACGCTAAATTGAAAAGCTTGGCTCAAAACTGAGTTTAACAAGGACGTATGTGCTGAATGTCCTCATTATCCTGGATGTGGGGGTCATTCAGCAAGAAATACATCTTAACTAACTTTCTTAAAATTCATTTTAGCTTCCATGAAATCCATTGGCTCTTCCAGGCCACTAGTCCAGAATCGGGGGTCAGATTGGGCCACTTTGTGGTCAGCAAGCCAACCCTTTTTCCTGGTGGCTGCCATCTTGTGCTCCAGAATGCAAGCATTTATACTGAAAAAAATTGTCTTATGGTTGCGAAGATAACATTTCGGTCGCGTGCCAGAAGTAACCCATTCAATGATGTCTGCCTGAGTCTGCAGACAGCCTTAAACAGTAGCTCTGAGAGAAGTATGAACCGCCCCAGTAATCTCAATGGGATGTTGACTCTGAAGCCTGATGATAATTTAAATGTGAAAACTGCTGAATATTTCACTACTGATCACACAAGAGAGAAGAGGAAAGATCATATTATGGAGATATGCACAATCTTACTGTGAGTGGGTCTCATTTTGGTGTATCAGTTGGGTGGAGATTGGGTTGTGGGCTAAGCATGGGAGAGTATCACCGCTTATATATTTTCACTGGTCTGACCCTAGCCCCAAATGCATCTCTGTAAAAGAAAGAGGACTATTTTGAGTAACTTGTAGAGGCTCAGAAATTATGAAATTCCAATCTTTTCCCAATTGGCATTTTAAATTACAAAGTGTTTGTATGTTTTTTTTTCAAAATTAAAAACAAACAAACAAAACCCAAGCAAAAGAGAAAAATATTTAGGACTGTCCCTCGGAGACATAGTCATGACTTGCACGTGCTAATGGAGCCTCTGTATATTTCTTTAGCTTTCTGATGTGGCCCCAGTTCTCCTGCATCCATATGCAGCTCCAAATTTTTTAGGAGAGAGCGTTTGGTGAATGCGTTTGGATTTGATGTCACCTGTGTGGTTGTTATGTGCATCCATGTCTATGTCACATGTGAATAAACTATAGACAGAAAGCTAAGTCCGAGAAATGAGCACTGCATTTTTTCCTTCCCGTGATGAGCTCAAACCAAAGCCTCTGTGGTCAGTGATCATCCAGTCCCTGGGAGATCCCTGATGCCCTGTTCCCTGCCCCTTTTCCCCTGGTTTGCCTCCCTGTCCTTGCCTTCGGAGGGTAAAATCCCAGAGAGGAGCTGGCCTCTCAGTCTCCTTCCAGTTGGGCTCTGTGTTCGGCGTGGTACCAGTGCAAATGTTCAGTGATCCATTTCGCTAAATAGATGAACACCTGCAGTTTATTCTAGGTGTGGACTTTTTCGGAGTGCTTGACTTCATTCCTAGACAAAGGAGGGATCTCAAGCCCATTCGGTATACTAGTTTTGCCATTGATTCAGGGAGCTCTGGATCAAGCCAGTCATTGAATTTCAGTAATCAAGGCTGGAAGTCATCAGTGCACATCTATCGGCTGCCTAATTATCCTCTGTGAGGTCCTAGAGTGTGAGATATTTCTAGTGGCCTGGAAGAGCCAGTAAATTTCACAGAGATTAAGGTAAATTTTAAGGTTAGTTGAAATTGATTTTTGTTCTGAATGAGCTGTGCAACCTAGACTGAGGGAATACCCCTATACGTGTATACTTAATGCTACTTTGAATTAAGCTTTGCAGTTAAGTAGAAATATGTATGTACAATACAGGTGATTTACTGGGTCACCTGGGATTTCCTCCTCTTTTTTAACTTCTGTTCATTTAAATTCTCAATTATGACAAACAAACCTGTTTAATTGAGTTCTCTGGGAGGAGAGATTTAAGAAGGAAAAGGGACAGAGGTAAGAGGAGCGATGATATAGTATGATAAATAATCAGGCCGCCTTCTCATCCACAAAAGTATAATTCCATCAGAATAGATGGAACTGCTTCTTTGTAGGTAAGAAAATAATTAATCCCTCTGTTGGCATTGTAATTTAAAATCGGCTGGTGTACTCCTTTCTGTGTGATGTCAATGAGTCACCAGCACTTGGATTTTTCCTCTGTATGTTCAGCTTTTCTATACCGCAATTTACATTATAAAGGCAATAAGGAACCTGAGATGTTTCTAGCCCTTCCTTGAATCCTGAGAGGATGACAAAGATGGCAACCTGATCCCTCAGAGCCTCCCATGTTGACATCCAAATTTAGTTCTCCTTGCGGAGTTGAAGAACTGGCATCATTCCAGGCATTTGAGATTATGCATTTTACTGTTAAGCAGCTGTTGCTAGTCTAACCCACCTAGCTCCGAACCTGGCTTTTCCTGAAAATCTACCAGTGGTGCTTTGAGGTTTTTTGTTTGGATACAGGGTTTGAAGGTAGCTGTGGTGTAAGGGTCTGCCTCGGTTTGGCTTCACCCCCCTGGCTTCAGGCGACGGGGTGTTTGCTGGTGACATTCAGAGACACCGTGAGCCAACAGCCAGCTCTAGTTAATTGTGCATTGTGCTTCCCGAGCCGTTCTGATCACCCTGTGAAACTTCAATGCAGCACAAACGGCGGTGGTGAGTGGTGCCTCTTGTTTTTCTCATTCCCCAGGACGACAAGGAGATCGACCTGGAGCACCTCCACAGGCGTGTGAACAGCCTCTGCACAGACGACGACAGTCCCCATAAACAGTTCTCCACCTCATCGATTGACTTGACCCCGCTGGACATTGACACTTTACCCACACGTCAGGCACTGGAGCAAATCAGTGACTTCAGAAACACTCACATCACCACAACCACCTTCATACCAGAGCAGATCCAGACTCTGAGCCGCACTCTGTCTGCTAAAGCCGCTTCGGGTTTCTCCTTCGGCAGCGTGCCCGAGCACCGAACTGGCCCTTTCAGGCACAGGGCACCCAACGGTGGCTTTTTCAGAAGCCCCATCAAAACAATGTCATCTATCCCTTACCAACCAACTCCTACTCTGGGTCTGAATATTGGTAGTGACCCAGACCGAGGCACCTCCATCTGAGCACCAGAACAAGTTTCTTCACTGTTTCTTATTTAGGACTCCCTTTGCAAGGAGCAGCTGTAATATTGTGGGACTAACATGGATGTAACCTTTCTTCTTTTCCTTATTTTTTGGTTTTGAGGGTTGTGGTTTGGGGGTTTTTTTATTTGTTTGAGGGTTATTTTCTGTTTGGGTTGTTTGGGGTTTTTTCCTTTATTTTATTTAAGAATCAGAATTATTAGTAGCAACTCTTCCTCCTCCTCTTCTCTGCTTTCTCAGTCTGGTCTCTTCTGTCTCCCCTTATTCTCTTTACTACTTGAATCACTTATTCTTTGGTTTATCACCGCGTTAGGTTTTGGTTACTTCAGGCTTTTCATATACTTTAAATATAGGAAATGTGCAGCGATTCATGCATAGAAAAACCCTGAGGATTACTTTACAGAAGGGCATTTGCTCCTCCTCCCCCACCACCTTTTTTTACTATAATTGCAATAACTTAAGTATTTTTCATGTACTCTGCTGCATCCGGTCAGCGCTCCACTGCTGTGTGTCCTTTTAACTGTGGACCAAAGGCAAACCCTGCAGTTCAAAAAATGGAAAAAATTAAAAAAAAAAGGCAAAAAGACAAAAGAAGTAAAAAAAAAAGAATGGAAAACAAATGAAGTTAAAAGATCATTCAGGCCCCATAATGTAAGAATGCAATTTTGTAGGATTACAAAAAGCCATTACTATGCCAGTAAAGACTACAGTTAAATCTACTTTTGCACTGCAACAGTGCATATGACCTTTATGTGATTGTACAGTGTTAAAAGTTTTTCTTATGTACAGTAAACTGTATCATATGGCAGAAGCCTCTGTTGTGTTAAATAAATTAGTATCTCATACATATATATATATACATATATACACAAAGGTATGTGTATATATATATACATGTATATATAGCTATAAAATGGCAGCCGTTGCTATTGCAATTCATTTAATAAAGCTTTAGTAAAAATGTGTTGTATACAGGAGAGATGTACAGTGCAGGGTGTCTTTTCATTTAGAAAAGACGGGTTGCTTTAATGTTATTCTGACTTGCATCGTTTGCCAACAGAGCATATTTTATACTTTTTTATTAGAACATCCGGGGCAATTTAAGGTTTGTACCTAGATGTAACTCCTTTGGTTAGGTTTTGCATTGGCTATTGAGCATTCTATAAGGCTAATCTTGATAATTTTCCTTTTAATTAATTAGACAAATGGAACTCTGTCTTAGGTATACCATGCTCATGAACAACTAATATAGCTCTAGAGAAGTTAAACATAGATCAAAGGTTAATAAATCCTTTTCCAAGTCAGTACAGTTGATCAATACAATAATGGTGTTAGTAGAGAAAAAAAAATAAGCCCTTGAGATATACAGATGTGGCCTTAATTATAATCATGTATTGTTCTAAGGAAAAAAAATATGAACAGGCGCTCATTTTAACCCTTTCTATGTTAAGTTAGGTTTAGAGGAGCTGTGTATTTTTTACATTAGTGCCAACTGTATAGAGTAAGAAAAAGAACAGCAGTGAGAGCAAAACCAGTGCCCACTTTGGCACCAGCTTTTTTAAGTAACACTGTTACCTGTTAGAAACATAGGAAGAGCTTTCAATTTGTAATCCTTAAAACTAAAAATGCGGTTAAGTAGAAAGCAAGCAGTTTATCCTGTGAGTTTTTTGGTTTGGTTTTCTTTTAAATGCAACCATACACATATTTTAATCTAACTCATTCTTTGGCTAGGATTAATAGGAATCAGCCTATGTGATTTGCTTTAGGATAAATTAAAAGGTATATTCTTCAGATCTATTCTATTTTGATGCTAATTCTGTTCTGGGGGAGCATCTTGTACTGTCACTGTTTTTTGTACTAAATCTTCAAATATTGTCTACTGTGTAAGGCAGAACGAATTCTTATCGTGCAAAAGGCCATTTTGTTTCCAGGGTAGCAAGTGTCTAAAAGCATGCACAACTTGCTTCCCCCTTGTAACATTCATGAACTCATCCACACTTCTGAGTAAAAAAAAAAAAAAAAAAAAAAAAAAAAAAAAAAAAAAAAAAAAAAAAAAAAAAAAAAAAAAAAAAGAGAAAAAAAGAGAAAATTTCTTTCCAACAAGCTACATAGGGACATACCAGATGTTGCAGTGATTTTAGCTATTAAAAAACCTGTTAACCATGTACGATATTTAAAATAGGCCTATTTTGATGTGTTGCCTATTATACAGATACACAAAACACTTTTTGGAGGCCTCAGTTACAAGTGGCAGAGCTTTCTGTGTATAATTTGTCTAAATAATTTGTCTAATAAAATTGTTTTCTAAACTTGTGTTTCTTCCTGTTTAATTGCTGAGTGCTATAGGGTTTTCAGCATAGGTCAATGTGTCCACTTATAAATGTTTTTGCTGCACTGTTACTGAAGGGGATTTAGCCCATGGAGATGGGATGAGCTTGCCAGGTTGCTGTGAGTCAGCTCATTGAAGAGCATCCAAGGTTTACCATGTTTATCAATGTCAGACTTAGGTTTCAGAAAACATTTACAAACAACATTTTGGAGAATGATTTTGGAGTTCATCAGCAATAACATGTATGGGACATGATTTGCAGATATACTGCATCCCACCTTCATCTGTTTTAGTGTAATGTAGGCATTTTCTTGGAACACAGCCTTTATTTTTATAGAATCACATTCTGCCATCTTTATTTGTACAGAGGTTAGTTTGCTCTGGAGCTGGACATACACTACCTAAAACAAAAGTTTTTGCATGAGAGAAGGGAGCCCATATTTCATTCATGATGGCTTTCTCAATTTTTAAGTTTCATTAACACATTAACCTTAATGACCTAGTCATTAGCAAGCTGTGCAGAATCACTTCAATAACATCAGCCATGACAATTTAACTTTCAGCATCCAAAATTTGTCTGCTGGCTTTTTACATTCATTGTATTTTATTTACTTAAATAATATTTTTGACCTCTTACAGTTTTCTATTAAGCTTACCAGGCTTTCAGGGGATTTCATTTTATAGTTTCAAAAGTACATTGGAAGGAGTCCTCAATTCATTGCTACATGAGAAAAATCTGAATACAGATAACTTAAAACTCTAAAGGAAGTTAGATTATTGAAAGTGACTTGAGGTTACAATTTAAAGGTGCCTGTGTAATAATGCCAATAGGCTCGTAAGTATGTGGGCACTAAAAACCTAGCCACAGGATGGTAGAAGCTTTTATAATCAGGCTTTTATTATTTCATAAAAAATCAACCAAGAGACAAGCTCTAATTACTTTATATGAGGCAGAGCTATGGCAAACTGAGGCACTGACCCTACAAGCCCTCATGCACCTTACAGCACATCTAGTAGGGATTCCCTTAACCACAAGGACGCTTGAATGATCAGGGCCCTAGTTTTAGACTACTGCTGATCTGTAAAGTAATCATAACCCCTTGGAAAGTGTTGTCTTGCCTGTATCATAAGTCATTCACTTAAACAGAGGCATTGCCCGTGTCATTTACACTCACAGACACACCTCTCTAGAGCTAGGTGGTTTTACAGACACTACATACAGACTCTCTGTAATAGGCTACGTCAAGGCAAACCCTATGTGACGCTTGCTTTTCTTTAAATAAAAATCCAGTGAAGTAATAGTGTTAAAGACTGTCATGTGTGTGCTGCAGTATCTCCAGTGGAGATACAAGCCAGCTGTATAAAGATGAGTTGTTTACATGGTGATTGCAGTCATACGACCATTCTGAGATACCAGCTGCAAACAAAAAGTGAGCAGTGGAAGAAAACATTTTTATCTGATTTCAAAAAATTACTTATTAAGATGCTTCTATTGACCAATGGTGAAATACCAGGAGATAAATAGTCCTGCTGAGCCAATCAAGTGAATGATTATAGCCGTCACTGACACAGCACAGCGCGACCAGGACAAAGTCTCCTGTGTTTCTGTCTTGTCTTCACAAAACAAAGTGCTCATATTGTGTCCCTAACTAAATCAGATTTTTTAGAAGCACCTTTTTATTTCTGACTTCCATAGGATGTTATGAAATGAGAGCATAAAGCTGCCTTTCTTCAAACACTCACAGTAGCTGGGTCAATACAGTTTACTGGAGGTTAATGCCCCTGATAAGTTTAATTTCTCAACTCTGCATGAAGGTAATGACACGAAAAGGAAACCAGCTTCCCATGTGCAGGCTCATGCTGTAGTTAATGAAAAAATAGTCTTCAAAACAACAAAGGCATCATACCAACACAGCCCTGCTTTAACCATTTTTCTCTCAGTCCCAATATCCATGTTTCATCTTCACTCTGCAGAGCTATTTTGAAATAAAAGTCAAAACCAAGTATCTACCCCTTAATTTGAATCATAGACAAAGGTTTTGATAAACACTGTGACATGAACACACACATGCACATGTCATATCAGGAGCAGTGGGCAACTGTGAAGACATCATCATGATTTATCAGGTTTTCATGTCTCACCCAAGGCATTGTTCATGAGGTCAGAAATAGATGCCTCCAAAGGAAGGTCAGAACAGGCAAAATGATTCACAGCTGAACAAATTGCTAACCCAAAAAAATTGCACCAATGACCAAAAATTACAAGACTCAAGAATTTAATTAACGAAAAAAATACTTTTCAAGAGGTATAGTTATA